CCAATCAGGCCTTCATGGTCAAATAGCTGCTAGGAAACCACTGCTAAGGAGAGGCAACAAGCAGAAGAGATTTGTTTGGGCCAAGAAACACAAGGAATGGACATTAGACCAGTGGAAATCTGTGCTTTGGTCTGATGAGTCCAAATTTGAGATCTTTGGTTCCAACCGCCGTGTCTTTGTGAGACGCAGAAAAGGTGAACGGATGGATTCCACATGCCTGGTTCCCACTGTGAAGCATGGAGGAGGAGGTGTGATGGTGTGGGGGTGTTTTGCTGGTGACACTGTTGGGGATTTATTCAAAATTGAAGGCACACTGAACCAGCATGGCTGACTGATGGTGTCACCTGTAACTCAGCTGGTCAGACTGCCAGCAGTTGGTTTTACAACACAAGGCACATTGCCTGTTTCTACAGCCAGTCAGCTTCTAGTTAAGTCCGCTGGTCAAGTCAAAATGACTGCAGGCGGCATGTTCACCTGCTGTGACAGGTGCTCTGTCCCCGCCGAGCCCTCTGTTTCTGTCCTCATGTGTGCCAGTGCTGCTGCTTGCTGTATGTGCTTATGCTCCATCCACACACACACACACACATTCTCATTGACTGATTAATTGGTGCTTCATCACTACTACAAATCCAACTGTAGCCAGTATCGCACACTATCCTCATTCAGATTTTAAGAAGCTACAAAATATATTTAGCCAGAAAATAAGTCTGAAAAGCTGCAAATCAGAACGAAAGTACAGAGAGGTGTTGCATGGAGATGATACACATTCTCATCTTGTTGCATTGGTGTGAATGCATTGCCCCTCCGACTTCTCGGCAGGGGGGCCACGGGGGGGCCGGACTCAGAGTTACAGGGGCACTGGCCCCTGCTACAACCCCCCCCCCCAAAACCGCCATTGTGTGTCAGCTTTGCGATAGTCTAGTGATCTGTCCAGGGTGTACCCTGCCTCTCGCCCAATTGTCTCTGAATGCCTCCCATGCTCGTAGCATGTGTTTGCTGTGTGTGTTCTGATTGTTGTGTCTGCCTGTCTTTGTTGTCCTCAGTCTGCAGTTTAACAGCCTGGGTCCCGAGTCCTGCATCCTCTTGAGAGATCTGCTGCTAGACCCCAAAAGTTCTATCAGAGCTCTACAGTAAGATTACATTTTTATACATGTCTTTGTTTCTTTTTTGCCTGTGTATCTGCTATGTCATTTTAAAATGTTTCAACATGATAAACATTAGAAAAGACAGGCACTTTGGACAATTTTATGTTGCACCTTGACCCTATGCAGCAGGGCCTGTTGAAACACATTTCCACTCTACAGTACAGCATGTCTCCTCTCAACTCAATTCACTCTTTCTTGGTCTACATAAGTGCTCGATACTACCTGGTACCTTGTATTGTTTTTGGTACCACCTTGTTTAAGGTTGCTAGCAAGCTGAGCTGATACTAGAAGGTGGAGTTCAAACATTGCAGACCACTGATTGGTCAGAGAGAATGATCACTAGAATCATAAGTTGTACAACACAGGACAGTCTGCACAAACCCCTCATTTTCAAATAGTCAGACTACTGTTAATAGTGACCACAATTTTTTATTCACTCAACCCAAAATGTCAGCCCACAAAACTATGCCTAAAAGTGCAAACATTCCTCTACATGGTTGCCAATTAAAGATTGAGTATCATATTAAGGATGATGTCACAGCAGTTTCATGCAGCATCACTATGGCAAATCCCGCCTAAAGTGAGGGGGTACCATCTACAGTACAGTAGCGAGTTTTTTTTCTATTGTGCAACAAAATGCATTACCAGTGTAAGACAACACAAAACATGGTGTTAAGAGTTTCACTCCCCTTTCTTCGCCTTGCAGCTCTGGTACTCATAGAACTGAGTTATGTCCAGTAACTATTAGTACTGATGAAAGAATCTTGCCAGCAGAAACACTGGGAGTTTTTGCAACTTCAGTGCAGAGGATTGTTATATTTATTGCAGCTTCAGTAATATCTTCTGCCACTTCCTGGCAACAGGAAATGACCGATTCTCTTCTGTGATGTACTCCTCGTAATTTTGTACAGTCTAGATGTACAAAATTTGGTGGGCATACGCATTAACTCTAGACTTTAAAAAAAGTTGGGGCGCCCATTAGCTCACTCGATAGAGCAGGCACCCCATGTACTGTAAAAAGGCTTTGTCCTTTCCGCAGCACCCCTGGGCTCGATTCCGACCCATAGCCTTTTACTTCATGTCATCCCCTCTCTCTCTCCCCCTCTCTAAAAAACTGTCGTATTGATTGCAGACAAAAGAAGCCCTAATTTTTTTATTTATTTTTTTAATTTAAAAAAAAGTTTCTTGGGGCCATGCTCAAAACCCAACAGGAAGTTGTACACATTCGGTGTTAACTTTCAGTACATGATTTATACTTTTACAAACTCAGGAATGGTGTTGCTACAGACAATTTACATGATTCCACATTAACAGGAAGCTGCTGTAACTCAACTGTCCATTGTCAAATCTGTCTCAGATGTGCTGCATGCTGGATAAGATTCCTGACCACAAGACATCTACGTGCTAACCTTGAGTCAGGCAAAAGGCAATAGGAAGGCAACAGGATGTAGGCATTGTGTGACAATCATTATTCGATTTACATGGATTTTACCTTGCATGGTCCATATTTGACATGCCGCAACATAATGCATGTGTAGCACATGTTCTGTTGCACCATGAAGGAAGTGGTTCAACATTTCAGCACAGCCCACTCCACAGAAAAAAAATATCTAACTCCTGTGGGCAATGTCTGACTGTCACAGAAATGCCACGTCGTCTGGAATCTTGCTGATAGCCTTGATATGCGAGAAAGTAAGAGGGCCCTTTCATCACTGCTTCCAGTTTTAGTTATTATTAGGGTTCAAGTCCCAAAGGAGCAGCACACTATCGAGTTTGTGGCAGTCTCTTAATTGTCTTATAGGGAAGCCCATATTGGTGTGAGCTGGAATGAGCTAGAAATATGAAACTTGGCCCATAAACTACAAATTATATGGAAATGCTTACCAAGAAATATTTATGTAATTAATGCTCAAAAACGCGATTTTGGAAAGCCAAGCCCCTTCCACTGTAAGTCCAGTTGACTTGAAATTTGGTAAATGATAAATGGACTTGCACTTGTGTAGAGTCTTTTCAGTCTTCCAACCACTTAAAGGGCATTTACACTACAGAGTCACATTCACTCATTTACACACACAGGTTATCATACAATGTGCCACCTGCTACTCAGTTTAAACACACTCACATACCAATTTAGGGTTCAGTGTCTTGCCCAAGGATACTTTGACATGCAGACTGGAGGAGCTGGGGTCAAACCACCAATCTGGACGACCTGCTCTACCTCCTGAGCCACAGCTGCCCCAATTGACATACGTATCCAGATCAATGTGCTCTACAAAAAAAGCTTCTCTTGGACAATACATGTTTACCATGGTGGATTTTTTTGCTAAATTGCATAATGTAAAAAACAGTGATATTAATAGACTTTTGGGATTTTGACTCTATCAGCACTTAATTTGGAACACAGCCTGGTCTGACTGAGATACACCATCCTACTGTAAATGAACAAGACTGGTCAGAAAACGTGTGCGCCATCAAAAACCTAATCAAACGACGGGAATTAGCAGTACATTGGCCGTAAGATTTCTCAGTACATGTTGGAGAATACATGCACCAATGCATTTTGAGCCTGACTCACAGAGGGCGCTAAAGATACCACAAATGTGTACCTCAAAACCAGGGGGACTGGACTTCACCAAATCTGGTGCATATGCCCTGGGGGCAAGTATCGATCAAGCTCTGAGGTGGGAGTTTGATTGGTGCATGTGGACATGGCCTGTTAAGCATAATACTGTATTATAACTTTGCACAATTCCCCAGTGAGCTGGAATGAGCTAGAGACTTAAAACTTGGCACCGTAACTGGAAATGTTGTCCAGATGCTTTGCATCGTATTTGATCTCAATCAGCCTGATTGTGGCACTATAATTAACAGCTGAAAAATTTAAAGGCCACGACCCTTAAACTGAGAGTCTGATTGACTTGAAATCTGACATCTCATTGTACACTACAGTAAAGCCTGTTGGACAAGTAAGGCCACCACAAATTATGTTTTGCTATTATGCATAATGTGAGAAACAGTAAATAAAAATACTTTTTTTGCATATGGACTTTATAAACACTTAACTTTGTATGCAGCATTGTGGGATAGAGAAACACAATCCAACTAGAAAGCAAGATTGGTCAAAAAAACATGGCCACCATCAATCAAAAAGTCTGCAAAGGACGGGGCTCAGAGGGAAATTTGCCATAACTCAAATTTTGAGCGATCCTGATTGAATTCGGGAAAGACATCCTGCACTAAATCCCGAACATACCCACCAAGTTTTGCTCACATTCGGTAAAGGGGGTACAAATCAATGGCTTTGAGTGTGCAATTATTGAAATGCTGCATATACTCTAATGATGAAACAAGAGTGTGATTGTCTCACTCTTTCTTTTAACAACATTACATCAGCTGAAGTAACCCACTCAATTCTGTCAAGGGCTTTCATTTATGGCAGTTGAGCTGGGTCTGTCTGTTGGCCAAGAAAGGGCTTGAACCCTCAATGCAGCTTGTGGCTGTATTACATAATATTTTTATATTTTGAATTGTCATCAATTGTCAATTTACTTTTTTTTAACATAATAAAGGCATTTCCATCATTATAT